AGGTAGGGGAAAAAGAAGAGAGAAGAAAAGAAAAAGAAGAAAGAAGAGAAAAGGGAGGAGGAGAAAGGAGGAGGGTAGGCTGGAGAAGAGAGAGGAGAGCAAGAGTAAGGATAAGTTAAAGGAAAGGGGAAGGGGATGGTAAGATAAAGAAAGTGGGGGGACAAAGGATAGAGGGATGAAGAAAGAAAAATAGGTATGAACACCGATAAGGACAAAGGTTTAAGGGTTGATAATTGTTAGTGTAGTTTGGTTTCACTAAGCTTTGGAGTTCAGAATGCTCTTTGATTGTAGGTGAACTATAAATCCCAGCGACTACAACTCCCAAATCAAAAATTTTTGAATGAAGGACATACATTGGGTTGTTAGGTATATTCTGTCCAAATTTGGTGTCAATTGGCCCACTGGTTTTTGAGTTTTGTTAATCCCACAGACGAACATTACATTTTTATTTATATAGATACTTGTTCCCCACTCTTCTCACCCCCGAGGGGGACTTAGGACGGCCTCACAGCAAACACCATTAGATGCCATCATAATGATAAGAACAATCAACAAATTCATTAAAATAAAACATTAAATAAACATTTGTTAAAACACGCAAATTAAAATCTGGGTCAATCCACTGTCACTTCGAAATTGCTTATGTCTTCTTCATACAAGCCGCTGTTCAATGGTCAAATGCAAGGTCCCACAGCCAAGTCTTGAGTTTCCTTCTAAAGGGCAGGAGGGAGGTGGGCAGTCTGATGTCTTTGGGGAGGGAATTCCACAGATGGGGAGCCACTGTTGAGAAGGCCCTGTCTCTCGTCTCCACCAATCGCTTTTGCGATGGTGGTGGGAACGAGAGCAGGGCCTGTCCAGATGATCTTAAACTTTGTGATGATTTGTAGTAGGAGATACATTCGGACATGCAGTCTGGGCCAGGACCGTTTAGAGCTTTAAAGGTTAAAACCAGCACTTTGAATTGTTGAGTTGTAGGTTTTTCCAGGCTATATGGCCATGTTCTAGAGGCATTTTCTCCTGACGTTTCGCCTGCATCTATGGCAAGCATCCTCAGAGGTAGTGAGGTCTGTTGGAAGTAAGAAAATGGGTTTATATATCTGTGGAATGACCAGGGTGGGACAAAGGACTTTTGTCTGCTGGAGCTAGGTGTGAATGTTTCAACTGACCACCTTGATTAGCATTTAATGGCTTGGAAGTGCCTTGGGGGAATCTTTTGTTGAGAGTGATTTTATGTGCCTGTTTGTTTCCCCTCTGTTGTTTTGCTGTTGTAATACAGACCCGCCAAGAAAATCCAACAATGCTACGTTCAGCAAAGGACAAGAGGGATCCTCTCACTTCTGCAGGAGTCTACCGTATACCATGCAGCTGTGGACAAGTCTACATAGGGACCACCAAACGCAGCATTGCCCAGACACGCATCAAGGAACATGAAAGGCACTGCAGACTACTCCAACCAGAGAAATCAGCCATAGCAGAGCACCTGATGAACCAACCTGGACACAGCATATTATTTGAGAACACAGAAATGCTGGACCACTCTCACAACCACCATGTCAGACTACACAGAGAAGCGATTGAAATCCACAAGCATGTGGACAATTTCAACAGAAAGGAAGAAACCATGAAAATGAACAAAATCTGGCTACCAGTATTAAAAAACTCTAAAATTACAACAGCACAACAGAGAGGAAACAAACAAGGACATCTAATCACCTCTCAACAAAAGTTTGCTCCAGGCACTGTCAGGCAATTATATGCTAATTTTTTTGGGGGGTGAGTCTGAGTGAAAGAGGGTCTACCCTAGCAAACCTTTTGTATCACCCCAATACCCCCATGCATATGGGATATATTGAGCATGGTGATCAGATCATGATATGAATAAACATAACAGTTTAAATAATGTACCAGTAAGGCCTTTTCGCGGACCACCCCGAGAATTTCGGGAGGGGGGCTGAAGCCCCCCAAGCTCCCCCCCCCCACTATATGCCTGGCTCCAGGCACTGCCAGGCTATGAAATGCTAGTGAAGGTAGTCAGTTGAAACATTCCCACCTAGCTCCAACAGACAAGAGTTCCTTTTCCTACCCTGGTCTTTCCACAGATATATAAACCCATTTTACTAGTTCCAACAGACCTCACTACCTCTGATGATGCTTGCCATAGATGCAGGCGAAACATCAGGAGAAAATGCCTCTAGAACAGGGGTCCTCAAACTAAGGCCCGAGGGCTGGATGCGGCCCTCCAAGGTCATTTATCCGGCCCTCGCTCAGGGTCAACCTAAGTCTGAAATGACCTGAAAGCACACAGCAGCAGCAACAACAACAACAACAACAATCCTATCTCATCAGCCAAAAGGAGGCCCACACTTCCCACTGAAATACTATTAAGTTTATATGTGCTAAAATTGTTCTTCATTTCAGTTATTGTATTGTTTTTAAGTGTTATTTGCACTACAAATAAGATATGTGCAGTGTGCATAAGCATTCATTCATTTTATTTATTTATTTATTTATTTACCTTACTTATATACCGCTGTTCTCAGCCCGAAGACGACTCACAGCGGTTCACAACAAATACGAACAGCAAAAATTCAGTGCTACAGTATAGAAACAGCTAACAACCTAACACATTACACAATTAATAAACAGTTACTACAATACCCATTCACTGTCGTCTCGTCATCAAAAACATGTTCCAGATTCGTCATCCATTATTCCATTCCAGTGTTCATTAACCAATCATTGCACTAATTATTCGAACGCCTGCTCAAACAGCCAGGTCTTCACTTTTTTGTGGAATACCATTAGAGATGGTGCTAGTCTAATGTCCGTAGGAAGGGCGTTCCACAGCCGAGGAGCCACCACCGAGAAGGCCCTATCTCTCGTCCCCGCCAGCCGAGCTTGAGAAGCAGGCGGGATCGAGAGCAGGGTCTCCCCGGAAGATCTCAAAGTCCTGGTGGGTTCATAGGCAGAGATGTGGTCGGATAGGTAGCTTGGGCCCGAACCGTTTAGGGCTTTAAAGGCCAACGCCAGCACTTTGAATTGAGCCCGGTAGCAAATCGGTAGCCAGTGGAGTTGGCGCAACAGGGGGGTTGTATGCTCCCTGCGCTCCGCTCCTGTTAAAATCATGGCTGCCGAGCGTTGGACTAGTTGGAGCTTCCGAGCTGTCTTCAAAGGCAACCCCACGTAGAGAGCGTTGCAGTAGTCTAAACGGGATGTAACCATTTTTTTTTCCAAATTATAATCTGGTCCTCCAACAGTTTGAAGGACTGTGACTTGGCCCTCTGTTTAAAAAGTTTGGGGACCCCTGCTCTAGAACATGGCCATATAGCCCGAAAAAAACAACAACAACCAAGCCCGAAAAAACCTACAACCACCCATTCTAATATCGTGTGTTTCGCAGCCGTCCGGCAGGGGGCGCTGTTTTGCAAGGAGGCGTGAGCGGCGGGCGCGCCCTCTCCTCCCCTTTTGGGCGCCCGAAGCCGCGCAAAGAGAAGCAGAGCAAAGAGGAGAGCAGACGGAGCGGGAGCGCCACAGCCCTGCCTCTCCCCTTCTTCTTCTTCTCTTCCTTCTTCTCTTCCTTCTTCTTCCCCGGTTTTCCGCGATGCAGCGCCGGGATTGGGACGAGCAGCGCGAGCTGCGGGAGCTCAACAACCACCTGAGCGTGTACCTGGCGCGGGTGCGGGACTTAGAGCAGGAGAACCTCCTCCTGGCCCAGGAGTTGACTTCTCTGCGTGGCTTGGACTCAAAGACAGCGCGTGGGGACTTGAAGGAGCGGGAGAAGGAGCTGTCGGCGCTGCGCCGGGCGGCGTGGGAGCTGAAGCGGGGCAAAGACGCGGCCGAGGCGGAGCGGGACGCTTTGAGGCGGGAGCTGGCGCACCTGCAACGCTTGAGCACGGACTTGCGCGGGCGGGTGGAGGAGGAGAGCGAGGTGGAGGCGCTGCGCCGCGAGTGGGCCGCCCTGCAGTCGGACTGCGCCGCTTTGGAGGCGCTGCTGGAGCGGCTCCAGGTGGAGAAGGCGCGGCTGGAGGAGGAAGCCCGGGCGGTGCGGGTCCAAAAGGCGCGCAGGCCGGCCCCAGCGCCTCTCCGCCTGCCTCGTCCGGTGGGACGGGAGGAGGTCGCGCCTTCCGCGCTGGTGCTGAGCTGGGCCAGCTGGGAGCGCCACGAAGCCGGGCTGTGGGCGCTGCAGCAGCTGCTGGAAGAACAGGAAGCCTTCGGGCCGCTCCGCCTAAAGGATGAGGCGCAACAGGTGCGCGCCCACAACCAGGAGAGCCAGAGGCAGGTCGAGGCGCTCCACCGCGCGTGGCAGGACCTGGCCGCCCAGGAGGAGGCGCTGCGCAGGGAGCGGCAGGACCAGGAGGAGCGCCACGGCGAGCACAGGGAACGCTGCCAGGTGCGCCACGGGGGACCCGCGGGTGGGTGCACCACAACTCCCAAAGGCCAGGGACATGTGCTCAAAGTTGGTCATGGTGGGTCCGTCTGCCATGTTTGGTCATGGTGGGTCCGGCTGCCAAGTTTGGACCAGATCCATCATCGCTTCTATTCACAATTCACTTTGATTGTTGGTGAACTATAACTCCCGGAATCCAGGGTCAATTCCCTCCAAAATGTGCCAGTACTCAAAGTTGGCCATGATGGATATGAGTGCCAAGTTTGGTCCAGATCCATCATCGTTTCCATTCACAATTCACTTTGATTATAAGTGAACTATAACTCCCACAAACCAGGGTCGATTCCTTCCATACTCTGTTAGGATTCAAAGTTCGCCATGATTGGTCTGTGTGCCAAGTTTGGTCCAGATCCATCACCATTTCCATTCACAGTTTGTTAGTGAACTATAACTCCCACAAACCAGGGTTGATTCCTTCCAAACTATGTCAGGATTCAAAGTTGGCCATGAGGGGTCTGTGTGCCAAGTTTGGTCCAGATCAATCACCGTTTCCATTCACAGTTCACTCTGACAGTGGGTGAACTATAACTCCCAGAATCCAGTGTCAATTCCCTCCAAACTCTGTCAGGATTCAAAGTTGGCCATGATTATTCTGTGTGCCAAGTTTGGTCCATATCGATCATCATTTCTATTCACAGTTCACTTTGATTGTGGGTGAACTATAACTCCCGGAACCCAGGGTCAATTCCCTCCAAACTGTGCCAGTATTCAAAGTTAGCCATGATGGGTCTGTGTGCCAAGTTTGGTCCAGATCCATCATCGTTTGGGTTCACAGTGGTTTCTGGATATGGGTGAACTAGAACTTCTGGAATCCAGGGTCAGTTCCTTCCAAACTCTTACTACTATTCATGATGGATTCACAGCGTGCTTTGATTGCAGGTGAACAATAACTCCCAAAATCTAGGGTCAATTCCATCCAAATCTCACCAAAGTTGGTCGTGATGTGTCCATGTGCCAAGTTTGGTCCAGATCCATCTTTGTTTGAGTTCAGCATGCACTTTGTGGGTGAACTACAACTTCCAATACCATGGGTCAATTCCCTATTCAAAGTGGCCCATGATGGATATGCATGCCAAGTTTGGTCCAGATCCATCTTTGTTTGAGTTCAGCATGCACTTTGTGGGTGAACTACAACTCCCAATACCATGGTCCAATTCCCTATTCAAAGTGGCCTATGATGGATATGCATGCCAAGTTTAGTCCAGAACCATCATCGTTTGGGGTCACAGTGCTCTTTGGATGTGGGTGAACTATCACTTCTGGAATCCAGGGTCAATTAACCTCAACTCTACTAGTATTCATGATGGATTCACAGCATACATTGATTGTAGGTGAACTATAATTCCCGAAGTCTAGGGTCCTTCCTTCCTTCCTTCCTTCCTTCCTTCCTTCCTTCCTTCTTTCCCTTTTGTGTCTCCTTCCTTTTCTCTTTCCTTCCTCCTTCTCTCTCTCTTTCTTTTCTCCTTCCCTTCCACCCTTTCATCCTTCCTTCTCTTTCCTTCTTCGTTCCCTTCCTTCCTCCATCCTCCCCTTCCAACTTACCTTCCTTCCTTCCTTCCTTCCCTTTCGTCCTTCCTTCCTTCTCTTTCTTTTATCCTTCCTTCCTTCCCTCTTCTCCTTCCTTCCTTCTTTCCCTTTTGTGTCTCCTTCTCTCTTTCCTTCCTCCTTCTCTCTCTTTCCTTCCTCCTTCTCTCTCTCTTTCTTTTCTCCTTCCCTTCCACCCTTTCATCTTTCCTTCTCACTTTCCTTCTTCATTCCCTTCCTTCACAGCATACATTGATTGCAGGTGAACTATAATTCCCGAAATCTAGGGTCCTTCCTTCCTTCCTTCCTTCTCTCCATCTTTCTCCTTCCCTTCCACCCTTTCATCCTTCCTTCCTTCTCACTTTCCTTTGTTTCCTTCCTTCCCTCCCTTTCGTCTTTTCTTCCATCTCTTTCTTTTATCCTTCCCTTCCTTCCTTCCATCCTTCTCAACCTTCCATCCTTCCTTCTTTCCCTTTTGTGTCTCCTTCCTTCTCTCTTTCCTTCCTCCTTCTCTCCATCTTTCTCCTTCCCTTCCACCCTTTCATCCTTCCTTCCTTCTCTCTTTCCTTCCTTGTTCCCTTCCTTCCATCCTCCCCTTCCAACTTACCTACCCAACTTCCTTCCTTCCCTTTCATCTTTCCTTCCTTCTCTTTCTTTTATCCTTCCCTTCCCTCCTTCCACCCTTCTCAACCAACCTTCCTTCCTTCCTTCTTTCCTTCCTTCTTTCCCTTTTGTGTCTCTATTCTTCTCTCTTTCCTTCCTCCTTCTCTCCATCTTTCTCATTCCCTTTCATCCTTCCTTCCTTCTCACTTTCCTTCTTCATTCCCTTCCTTCCATCCTCCCCTTCCAACTTACCTTCCTTCCTTCCCTTTCGTCTTTCTCCCTTCCTTCCCTTTTGTCTTACCTCCCTCCTTCCCTCACTCCCCATCTCCCTCTTTCCCCTTCCATCCTTCCCTTCCCCCTTTCATCCTTCCTTCCTTTTCTCTTTCCTTCTTCCTTCCCTTTCTTCCTTCCTTCCATCACCAGGTAGCCAGTCCTTCCAGCAGGGAGTGCTATCAAGGGGCCCCCAAGTTAGAAAGTGTCCCCATGCCTGCTGTAGCTCATTTTGCGGTAGCTTTTCAGTGAATATCTCAGTCTCGCTCCATTCAACCTTGTTTGTGGCCACAAAAGCGAAGTTTCCGGAGTAGAATAACGACTTTCAAAATAAATACCGCACAATTAGATGGGAAAGTAGGGACAGAACATTTTTCACATTTTGTTAGGCAGTGTTAATGGGAGTCGTAGTCCCTACAACCCTGAAACTCCTCCAGGCTCTGCTTCAACGCAATAGCACAGGTATCCATTTCAGATGGGAAATTCCCCAGCTTGTCCAGTACAGCCAACACAAAAGGACTGGGGCATTTGAAACAGAGAGTGAGCACAGGACAAGATGTTCTCTTTGGAAAGGAGAGCGGCTGGGAATCCTTGTTCCCTCCGTATGTACGCAGAGCCCTTGCGTGCTCAGAATAGTATTGCCAGGCCTAGGTTTCACTTCACAGCAGCCTGGCATGTTATTCTTAGGGGGTCTTTGGGCACAACAACCATTTGGGGCAGACTCGTTGTCAGCGGTGCCCAAACATATTTCTTTATGGAACTCTTCCCATACAACCCTCACTCTTTTCCTAGCTGTATTCCTAAGCATAGCAAACCCACAAAGTCCTCCTTTCGTCTGTTCCTATTGCCTGGGCATCTTGTATAACAGTGTTTCTCAACTTGGGGGTCGGGACCCCTGGGAGGGTCATGACGGGGCTTCAGAGGGATCACTGAAGACCATCAGAAAACACATATTTCTGATGGTCTTAGGAACCCCTTTGGCATAGTTGTCTGGGTTCACAATGTTCTCCGCATCCCTAAATCACTGTCAATTCATCCCAAATCCCTACAGTATTTTCTGTTGGTTATGGAAGTTCTGTTTGGGAAGTTTGGCCCAATTCTATCGTTGGTGGGGTTCAGAAGGCTCTTTGATTGTAGGTGAACTATAAATTACAACAACTATAACTCCCAAAAGTCAAGGTCTATTTTCCCCAAGCTCCACCAGTGTTCACATTTTGGCATATTGAGTACTTGTGTCAAGTTTGGTCCAGATCCATCAGTTTGAGTCTGCAGTGCTCTCTAGAGGTAGGTGAACTACAACTCCCAAACTCAAGGTCAATGCCCACCACACCCTTCCAGTATTTTCTGTTGGTCCTGGGAGTTCTGTGTACCAAGTTTGGATCAAATCCATCATTAGTAGAGTTCAGATTGCTCTTTGATTGTAGGTGAACTATAAATCCCAGTAACTACAACTCCCAAATATCAAGGTCTAATTTTCTCAAGCAGTATTCACATTTGGGCATATTGAGTATTCATGGCAAGTTGGTCCAGATCCATCATTGTTAGAGTCCACAGTGCACTCTGGATGTAGGTGAACTACAACTCCCAAATGACAAAATGACTCCCCCTTCCCCGATCCCATCAGTATTCAGATTTGGCCATATTGGGTATTTGTGTCAAATTTGGTCCAATGAATGAAAATACATCCTAAATATCAGGTATTTACATGACGATTCATTTCAGGAGCAAAATGACAGTTTTGAAGTAGTAACGAAAATACTGTTATGTTTGGGGGAATCCTAGGAGTCTTGGGCTAGTACTCCCAGAGAGCAAGATTTGAATCCTCAATTGGCCATGGAAACCAGAGGGCAGGCCACACTGTCTCAGCCTCAGAGGAAGGCAATGGCAAGCCCCCATCTGACTAATATATGCCAAGAAAACAGTTAGTGCAGTGGTTCTCAACCTTCTGAATGCCGTGACCCCTTAACAGAGTTCCTCAGGTTGTGTTGACCCCCAACCATAACATTATTTTCGTTGCTACTTCATAATTGTGGTTTTGCTACTGTTCCGAATCGTAATGTCAGTATCTGATATGCAGGATGGATTATCATTCACTGGACCAAATCGGGCACAAATACCCGATACATTGTGGGTGAACTATAACTCCCAGAATCCGGGGTCAATTCCCTCCAAACGCTGTCAGGATTCAAAGTTGGCCATGATTAGTCTGTGTGCCAAGTTTGGTCCAGATTCATCATCGTTTCCATTCACAGTTTGCTTTGATTGTCGGTGAACTATAACTCCCGCAAACCAGGGTCAGTTCCCTCCAGACTGTGCCAGTATTCAAAGTTGGCCATGATTGGTCTGTGTGCTAAGTTTGGTCCAGATCCATCATCGTTTCTATTCACAATTCACTTTGATTGTGGGTGAACTATAACTCCCGGAATCCAGGGTCAATACATCCAAATTTGGGAGTTGTAGTTGCTGGGATTTATAATTCACCTACAATCAAAGAGCATTCGGTACTCCAACAATGATGGAATTGAACCAATCTTGGCACACATGAC